CGTATTTATCATTTCTTTGTAGACAAACGATAACGTACTTTTATGAATATCCATTGATTTCAGCTCATTGCTGTTCGTTCCAGATATATCTTCTATATTTCTTTGTTTTAATAGTCCCATATTTGCAAGGATAGTTCCCGGATGGATATCTACATTTAATTTTTATCCTCTAACTCCTTCCATTCATATAATTGTCGTAAGAGGCGACTAACGGGATCGGGTGGTCAGGCTTGCTGACTTGGTTGATGCCTGTCATCAATCCAAATTGCGTGGATAGATGTTCATGATGTTAATCACTGGATTTTCTGGTCCAGATTCGATTATTTGCAGACCGCCGTCATATGACAGACAGACGGACAGACAGACAGACAGACAGACATGTTTATTCAGTAAAGGGCCAATGGCCCAAAATACAGACATGTGAGCATGGCATTTACAGGGCACAGAATTTATCATTAATTATCTTGTGAGCATAGTATAAGAATTTACAAACTAGAAATAATGTTTGCTCATTATAATTACTAAGAATATTTATTACACGAGAATTACTGTAATGAGTAGGCATAGGAAGATTAACAAGGTATTTTTGTCTTAGGGCAGAATATAAATTACAATTAAAGAGTACATGAAATTCATCCTCAATGACATTAACTCCCTTACTACTACAATAGTTACAAAATCTGAGTGAACGGTCTGTTTTACTATATCTGCCAGTTTCTAAAGCTATTTTAAAATTTGAACATCTGAATTTAGTAAAAACAATTCTTAAATGGGTAGGTAGTGGACATGACAAGTATCTTTCAACATTTAACATGGATTTAAAATGCTTATAAAGATCACATTTTGGAGAAGAGTTTACAGAAGCACTCCAGAATTGCTGTAAATTATCTTTGAGCCTTTGCTTAAAATGGAGAATAAAAGCTTCAGAGTTACCCACCTCTTGATTGAGCCATACAAAACCAAACCCAAATTGGAATAAAATATTTCTAACTTTAGTCGCCCAAGTTACCCGCCCAACATCATCTAAAGATTTAAGCATTAAATAGCATTGAGAAGGTAATCTGTGGGGTTGAAGATGTAAGAGCCTGCACCAATATTTAATTACTTTAGTCATGTAAGTGAGTTGTAAAGGCAACCTCCCACATTCCCCTAAAACCATATTTGAGCAGATTGATTTGTTTACTTTAAAATAATGCTTACAAGAGGCGATTTGGACAGATTCGTTTTTTTTACAATAGCAAGTACCCCAAATTTCAGAGCCATAGGTTAAGATGGGGGTGGCCATAGAGTCAAAAACCTTAAACAGATCTGTACAGGTGATATTACCAATTTTCCTTTGAAAAGAGTTAATGGCTAAAATTGCTTTGGTGGCTTGGGATGCTAGAGTAGTTTGTGCCTTACTCCATACAAGCTTAGGTGTAAACATTAAGCCAAGATATCTATAACTTGAAACAGTTTCAATAGGTTCACCATGATAAAACCACTTTTCATAACTGCGAAGATGGCCACCTTGCCTAAATACAATTACTTTTGTTGTTTTTTAAGTTAATTTGCATGCCTGTTTTATTACAAAATATTTCCAAAGCATTAATTTTCTTTTGAAGCTGGGCACAACTATCTGAGAGAGCAGAAACATCAGTATACAAGACCTGACTGACATGGTCAATCAGAGAGTCGGGCCCAGATCATAGACAGAAGCGGGTCTCTGTGCCGGGAACATTGGCCGCTCGGTCCCGGTGTCCGTTCTGTCACATTATCATCCACCTGTAACCTTGGGACTTATTTCAACCCATTACCAATAAACATGGCTGCTGTCGTCTGACACTTCATCACTTCCATCATCAACCTGAACTACCATCAGAGGGCGAAACAATGCCCTTGGACACTATTGTTCTCAAAAACAGGGATGTTGTGATATCCCGGGGATTTCATAAATACAACTTCCGTTCATATTGTAGCATATGAATATTGCAGCCTGGTGGTACCCTCACTGGGCTACAGACACGAAGGTTGCGTGTTCTATCCGCGGGAATATCTTGAAAATATTTTACATTTGATTTTACATTTCATTACATTGTGTTCAAATTCTACACTAATTTCTTGCTGGAACAGACGGGCTGATAAATCACAATGCTTTTAAGAATGTCTTTTCCAAGAACCGTATTCCAGCAACAGATATTTTACGCCGGTTTCCTAGGCTCATGGAAAGTGTGCTTGCAACATGTTGATAAATGTTGTGTTAAGTTTCCTTTTTCGGTTTTAAGTTAGTTAAAATATGTACCCTCATCCTCAGTTTTCTCCCTTGGATTCTGGTCTTAAGTATCATAAAAACCCTCTGAAGGTCTTATCCTACACATAAACTATATTGGTCAGACTTGTCTTCAATGGCCACCAGGGCGGTGTTTGTAGATGTATGGACATCGGGGTCCATGCTTACACATTCAGTCAGTAGTCATAAGACATTCTACATCATTATTATTAGCCAATAATAACAATAGGCAATTTATATTGCGCATATTTCCACTCCACTCGGGCATGCTCAAAACGCTATTATTACCCCGGCCACTGGATTAGTGTGCATTCAAGAATCATTCTCATCTCCCTGGGGAGTATACAACGCAAGCTGCCTGTTTTGCGCTGGAAGGTTAACATCTCATCCTACCGGGTACCCATTCACTGCTGGGTGAACAGAGGCACATTTCGAACAAAGTCACTTGCCTGAGGAGACGCTTCAATGTCTGGTCAATGTTTAGTTTAATCATAAATTTTGTCAGCTACTATAGAGTCAATGTTTCAGCGTTCAGTTTCATAATTATTAGTAAATAATTAAATATTAGTCAATATTCAAATGATCAGCATCAATTACAGATCGAAATTGTACAGCAGCACCCTGGACAGTAACCTGATCAGTACAGTGACTTGTTAACTAAACAATGTGTGATGTCTATCCATTTAACGGATGTAACATTTCTGTATCAAAACATTCGGTTTTTAACCACGGATTTCCGATTGGAGAATTGCTAATTGTGTAATTAGGATTTCCTTTCAAAAGTTAAAATGTTGAATTCAATGTTCAATTACATTTAAGTCTAAGAGGATATAGACATTTTGGCCTAGGCGGAACAGACACATGTGACAGAGATTATGTCGAGAGTTAGAGGAAATGGCTTCACTTAAACAACCGAGGTCGTTAAAGATACACCCGTGATGTTTAAGTTAAATTTGAGCAGCCTTTGCCGTCGGACCAGACCAAACACATGTAATAGAGACTATGTTGAGTGTCTAGAGTCAAACAGGTCTTAACTTTAACCAATGTGTTAATACCAATGCTTTAATACGAGAAGCTTATAAAGTGGTATTTAGGTAGATATAATAGTCTTTATATTTGAACACTTTCCATGATACATATGTGCATTGAGGGTGTTTTACACTTGAGATACATCCGATTGCCTTGACCCGCATTACCCAGGAAATACCCGGAATAGAAACAATTTTCATGACAATCAGGCGACCATATTGTGAGAGTTTCTCAATTTTGTATAAGCAGGTAAGAAACACTAAAATCATGAACCCTACAAATTGAGTGAGTGATTGAGTATGGTTTTACGCCGCTTTTAGCAATATTCCAGCAATATCACGGCAGGGGACACCAGAAATGGGCTTCACACATTGTACCCATGTCGGGAATCGAACCCGGGTCTTCGGCGTGACGATCGAACGCTCTAACCACTAGGCTACCCGACCGCCCCCCTACAAATTGATCAACACCGAGTTGCACATATGAAAATAATACGAAAATGTCGAGTGCTAACAAACCCAGGAAGAGTAGATCATGACTTTGACGGGGGGGGGGGGGGGGGGGGGGGGGGGGGGGGCGACTTGGAACAGAAAACTGCTGCGGCGACAGACCACTGGGCCACCGTACGTCCTTGACACAGACGTGTCAATGACTGTTTGTTGTTGAACGCCGCACTCAGCAATATATTCACTTATCGAGCCTGGACCAGCCAATCCAGTGATTGATATAATGAAAATCGATCCACGCAAATGGGATACGATGACATGCAACAACGAACACAGCGAGCCTGACCACTCGATCCCGTTTGTCGCCTCTTACGACAAGCATGGGTTTCCGAAGACCTATTCTAACCGGGCTCTTCACCGGTATCGCAATGACTGATCAAACTGTGTGGTTGAGGGTGACACCACGTTCTGTGTAGGCAACCTTCCACCTCGCGCAGAAGGAATTCCAAAGTCGCTGACACACAAAAAACGTAAAAGGATTTAAGATACAAATTTATTACAAAACGAAGCGTTGTTAATGAAGGTTATTCGGGACACACTGTCCCATAACGGGCAGACTCATTTTGAAGTTGAAGATGAAACTAAACCAAACTTTATCTACATGAATACTGTGAATGAGATGTTAAACAAAAACATGAAAGTAATACTTGTGACAGCAAGAAAAGGCTCATGAAGAAAGCACTACAGTTGACATTCACAACGAAACTCACTTGGGTCAAAGGCACATAAGAACAGAGCACGCATCACATGTATTGATACGTTCAACACCTACGTACGTAGCGCAAATGAAACAAGTATAGGTAGCACTGTATGGTTGCACAAGTAGAGCGCCATGCAATAAAGTTAATATGTAGCTCATTGAAATAAAGTCGACGTATGGTCGGCGAGAGCCATGAAATAAAATCGACATGTGGTCCGCGAGCGCCAGGCAATTAAGTCGACGAATGGTCGGCGAGCGCCATGCAATAAAGTCAGGGTATTGCGAAGTGAGGTTTCACAAAACCGGCGTATGCGGTGAGCTCTTGTCACGACTTAAGTATAAGACATTGTATAAGTATATGACATACAAGTATAATTGAGTGAGTGAGTTGGGTTTAACGCCGCTTTTAACAGTATTCCAGTTATATCGCGGCGTGTCAGCTTGATGTGGGAGGAAAGCCCGTGGTGATGCAGGTCTCAGACGTTTATCACTTCTGTGAAACCCACGAGCACGGGTATGGTGCTGACAAACCTAGAAACATAATCGGGGCGAACCGGGATTCGAACCCACAATCATAGGTTTCTGGCGTGCCCAAGGGACGCAACTCTGCACAGCGAATCGCTCATACAAGTATATCACAGATTATGGGGTTCATTGGCGCGGAACTAAACCTCTGTAAAATGTCTTTTTGTATGAAACGCGAACAATTGAAAATAAGTCTAGTTCACAATATATCCAAGTTATAACCAGTTCACGCATCCAACATGTACCACTTGTCCATAACAATAAACATCCAAATACATGTACACAATAAAAAACATGACATCAATATCATTCTGCTTGTGACGCAAACGTTAGCATTGTGACCATTACCTAAATGAAAATCATAATTTCCATTTGAATAAATTTAGTATTCTTTGCTTGGCATCCGGTTGATTTAGGGGGAACAAATTGTTGTTGCTTACCTAGAATAAAAACCCTCAATGAAATATCTGCAAAACAATGTGAACAATACTCTATGTCGAAACTGCCACTGAATATATATACTACTCAACATTTGCTAAGGACAAACAGTGACCTTTAGTAAAAGGTGTCTTTGACCTGTGAAGATCCATGGTCTTCAGCAACCCATGTTTGCTATAAAAGGCGACTATGCTTGTGGTAAAAGGCAACTAACGGGGTCGGGTGGTCAGGCTCGCTGACTTGGTTGATGCCTGTCATCAATCCCAATTGCGTGGATCGATGTTCATGATGTTAATTACTGGATTGTCTGGTCAAGACGCGATAATTTACAGACCGCCGTCATATAGCTGGAATATTGCTGAGATCGGCGTTAAACAAGCAAATAAACAAAACAAAAGGTGTCTTTAGCAAATGCTGAGTAGTATGGTTAACATTAGGGCGCCATCTGTAGATGTCTAATCGATCTAAAGCAACTTGGCTGCGGAAATGACAGCGATGATGGAGACGATGCTGTAACGGACGATGGAGGTGCCGCCAATGACGCTGGTCTCATACTCGGTGATGGCAGCCTGTCTCCTTACCGTGTCAAGCTTACAGTAGGGATATTTGACCCCTTCAAACACACGGCCGTAGATGACGCCCACGGGGCTACAGTCGTCCTGGAAGGGGTCGGTGAAGCAGCCGGTGAAGGAGTCGAAGAACCTGAGGGGACAACAAACGATATTTGTTTACTTGTTAATCTCGACCCGTGAAGATCCGGGTAGAATGGGCACTAAAAGGCGTCTATGTTTGTCGTAAGAGGCGACTAACGGGATCGGGGGGTCAGGCTCCTGACTTGATTGATGCATGTCATCGTATCTCAATTGCGTGGATCGATGCTCATCTCAATCACGGGATTGTCCAGACTCGATTATTTCCAGACCGCCATCATATAGCTGGAATACCGCTGCGTGCGGCGTTAAACAAGAAACAATCTTGTTGATCCCGTGTCGCTATATTCGTGTCAGATTACGTGCGTTTTACCAGAGGCGTGGACTATCACAAGCATCAGTGTTAAACCAAATGAAATACGACAGTGCATGTGACCACAGCCACATCTGGGATGTATGGTTGAGTCGGTGAATCTGGTTTTGTCCTGCTCAAAACCAATACAATGGGGGCTGACATCAAGAATGGGCTTGGCACATTGTATCCTTGGAGAGAATCGAACCGTGTTCCAGGCATACCAAGCTACCAAGTAGTTAAAACCCTCACACTGTTGCTGTTAGTGAGGCTAAAAGAATAATAGTCTTGGTTCTCAGCCACCGCCCGCATCATCCTAAAGTCCGCCGCATGATTCGTTTTTATTTCCATTTAAAAAAATAAAAAAATCCCCAATACTTAAAAACAATGCGTTCCAATATACCACACAGTTACTTCCCTTTACAATGTTGATGGCACACAAATGTTTATTTGTTACATACTAGTTTGAACAAGCAAAAAAACAAAACGAAAAACCGCCCGCACTATATTTTCAAACGTCATTGCCCGAGAACCAATTCTTATACTTTTAAAGCCTAATTGCAAAGCATAACGTGTACATAACTTCATTCTGAATATCATTATGTCAGTATCGAAACTAAGGACACTTAAATGGGAGTAGGTATTGCTGTTGAATGGTGACCCAAGTTCGCCAACCTATCCCAGGGATACCATGGAACCAGGCCCCATATAACTGACGGTTCAGGCACACAATAAACCACTGATTACAACATGGTTGTAACGATCTCATTGTGGTAGTGCCCCGTCGAGATTCTGTGTTAGAATAGGACCTCGAGCTGGTCGTAAGCGGCGATCAAATGGATCGGGTAGTCAGGCCCTGTCACTTGCTTCATTGCCTGCCATCGTACCCGATCGCTTGGACCGATGCTCACAATATCGATCACTAAATTGTCTGGTCCAGACTAGATTATTTACAGGCTGCCGTCAAATAGCTGAAATATTGCTAAGTGCAGCGTTAAACAAGAAACAAACAAATCATAGCAGTAGAAGTAGCAATACTATATTCATAACTGTATATATCAGAGCTCCGGAGTCCTTTTTGAGAGGCATTTAGAACTAAGTACTAAGTAAGGATAAGATATATTGATGAACAACTTCTTTATCTGATATCTAATCTACTGTATAAACACTGCCCCCTACATGTATATTTACAAATCAACCATACTCTGTACTTCACTTGCTTGATAACGGTGTTAGAACCTACACCGAAATGTGGCTCCTAATTGTAATAAGGAAGTTGTTCATCCATATATCTTATCATTACTCTGTCGTGCGCTCAATAGGACAACATATGCAAATAAAACTAGAGTGCAGCTAGACTTACTTGCAGACCATGTCCAGTCCAGACTTGATGTCAGTTGGTTCTCCAGCGTTGGTGATGGCAGCGACAGCGTTCTGTAGGCAGTCAAAGAAACTGGACTCCCCAAAGGCAGAGAAACAAGCTGCCTTCTCCACCAGAACTAGATCAAGAATGGTGAAAATGAGGCTCTGATATAACGCAACGGATACGATGTTGTAACTCACCTAAATATTGCAACCTTTAGAATCTCCTCAATGCAAAGAGTGGACGTTTTTGAATGCTATATACCCCACACAAAGGGCATGCTGATCATTAAGTTCTGCTTCACTATCACACTATGTAAGGCCAATTTTTTTTTGTTTCTTTGTTTGTTGATCACCGCACTCAGCAATATCCCAGCTATGTGGCGGCGGTCTGTACATAATCGAGTCTGGACCAGACAATCCAGTGATTGACATCATGAGCATCCATCTACGCAATACGATGACATGTATCAACCAAGTCAGCGAGCCTGACCATCCGATCCCGTATATCGCCTGCTACAAACATGGGTTGGTGTAGACCAATATTAACACTGGTCTTCACGGGTAGCCAAGGCTTAATATACCATATACCTTAGGTTAATGACAGATATTATTGCACAGGCCAGAGAGGTAATTCATCAGAGATGTTATTGCACCCGTAGGGGAGGTAATTCACAAGAGATGTTATCGCACATGTAGGGGAGGTAACTCGCCAGAGATGCTATTGTACATGTAGGGGAGGTAACTCATCAGAGATGCTATTGTACATGTAGGGGAGGTAACTCACCAGAGATGTTATTGCACATGTACAATAGGCCTGCCCTGGTGTCGGGGATGCTGACCAACAGATTCATCAGCTTCATCTCTTTCTGATTGTCGACACAGTCCTGCATGTGTCCTTCCATGCAGTCCACGATGTTGTTCATGTTGTCTCTGAAAGAAGGTATGCTTATAGTTATGCAAGATATTGAAGTCCATACATGTTTCACGTTTTACTTCAGAAGACAGGAATCTACGAGAGGTCGTGTGGGGGACAGGGTAAACCGACCTACCGGCAGAACGTTTGGATGGAGGCCTCATCCTTAGGGGTTAAACTTGGGTTGAAGAGCTCGGACTTGAAGAGGCACTGCTGAATCTTACCGCTGGAAGTGGAATCACAGATGGCGGAGACAGAAGATCCTATAAACAAAGCACCAACAAGGGTTAAGGGGACATTCAGGACTGTGACCACATGGTGACCACATGGTGACCACATGATGTTTGTTTGTTTCTTGTTTAACGCCGCTCTCAGCAATATTCCAGCTATATGACGACGGTTTGTAAATAATCGAGTCTAGACCAGACACTCCAGTGATTTACATAATAAGCATCGATCTACGCAATTGGGATACGATCAACCAAGTCAGCGAGCCATTCGTGACCAACTCGTGTTAATCCGGGACAAGCCGAATAGTGATTCGTGAACCTCTCGTGGCCATTTTTGCGACTGGGTTCCATCTAAGCGCAAACGGGCATAGATAAAAAAATTGTCAACTTGTTGTGTAATGATTCACGATTATTTCACCCATATATTATATATATTCCAGATGCTATTGAAAACAAATCGGGACTTACAGTATTATACAGTGTGATTGAAGACACTTTACTCTGTCTTGGGTATATTTTTAAATGCAAGACATATGTAAAATCAAAAGTTATTCCCGAGGGATTCTTTTGACCGTACCCTCAAAGTCATATGCGCATTTTGATTGTTTTGTCGTTTTTTCGCACATAACATTCATCGATAGGGGCACGAGTCTTCTTGTAGGTTACAGAAAGGGGGGGGGGGGGAGAGAGAGAGAGAGAGTGGTGACGAATGTCAGACAAGCATGGTCAACTGTTATGGCAAGCATTGGTTTTTTGTCTGAATACCTCTTCTAACCCTGATCTTCACAGGTCGACCACATGACCACATGGTGACCAGCGATGGTTTTGTGTGATTAACGAGTAACCCCGCTTTGAGCAGTATTTCCCATGTCACGGCATGACGTGTGTACTTTTATGTGAGATGGCAGTCTTGAGAGGTGTAGGTTGTACACAACTTTCAGTTCGGTGAACTCACTCCAACGGGTTTTCTGGTGATAAACCAAACATCGTAGTGGAAGTGATATCTGTGTGAGCACACCCCGACCTGTTATAATGTTCACCACAAACGTGATGATCTACTGGCGGAAATGAGCCTGTTTGCACCACCTCACTGCCAACGGAACCACCATGAAGTATCCCGCTGAATACCGCCGTTTTTAGCTGCAGATAGATACATTTTGTGGCCCTGGCACAATGGTCAGTATATGTTTTGCTTCATTGTGTGTTCTGAAATAGATTTCATCATGTTTGATAAGCGCTTTTCTCATATCCAACACAATTCTTCTGGGTTATCGGCAGCCATTGTTATATGCATCGATGCGTAGCCTGTCGATAAATTGATGTTTTCATACGCAAGTTTTTTGCGTTAAAAGGCATGTTAATTTTCAGGTATCGAATGGAGTAAGGTGTTTTTAACCCTATTTGGCTCTATGCATTCTTCAGTGTTGTGGTAAAATTGGAACCATCGTGATAGCAGAAGGTCAAAACGATTGTCAATGCAATGTTATTCCACTAAATGGGGATTAAGGTGGGCAATAGTCTGGACAAGATTTAAGCGGGAGACATGACGATGAACGTAGGCAAATTAGACAATAAATCGTTGACCTGTAAGGAAAATGGATCCTTCACGACAATAAGGAGAATACAACATGGGCTAATGTTTTATAATAATCATTAAATACGTCAGAAGAAATCAATCCCATTGTGTAGATGTGTCATGGGAATATCTGACTTCACTACACAACAGAGAAGCAAAACTGAAGACGCTATAACGGTTAGTCAAACATGAACAGTGTTTGATAGCTTGCTTTGTAAATACTGTCCATAAAAACGTCATTGCTTCAGCCCCAGAAGAGTTTCTGGGTCACAATGCCCAAGCAACCTATGTTTGTCGACTATATGGATTAGGCGATCGTACAGCAACTCTGGACAAGGTTTCTGCGAGAGACAATGAACATCATAGCAACATCAGTTAAAATATATTGATCTGCAAGCAAACGGACCCTTCACGACAATCACAAGACTACTACGGGGACCCTTCACCACAATCCCGAGACTACACGTCCAATACCATATGGCAAACATTAAATACGTCAGGAAAATATCAATTCCGCATGATGGTTGTATCCTCGGAATGTTTTACGTCTTTACTCTACAACAGAGCAGCTATTTGAAGATTCCATCACTCGCTACTCCGTAACTACACATGAAATATTCATGTATCACTTCGGGCTTTCCTCCCACATTAAGCTTACACGCCGCGATATAACTGGAATACTGTTAAAAGCGGTGTTAAAAACAACTCACTCACTCACTCATTACAACGTACGACTAACAGGATCGGGTGGTCAGGCTCGCTGATTGGTTGCGTAGATCGATGTGCATGATGTCATTCATCGGATTGTCTGGTCCAGACTCGCCGTAATGTAGCTGGAATATTGCTGAGGGCGGCGTTAAACAACAAGGAAACAAATACATTACAGCGCACCCGACGTGGGTATTCAAACTCTCAGATTCTTAACAATGCCAAAGTAACGAATATTTGAAAAATTGTATTCAATATCAAAGAGGCAAGCCTGGTAACGCTAAATGACGACCTTTTCACAAACATCCCACTGCCTGAGGTTCGAATTCGAAGACTTTATAGATCGGTTTGTCAGGCTCGGTGACTTGGTTGATTGTGCGTCATAGTACCCAAATGGCGTGAGACGTTGCTCACAATATCAATCACTGGTTTGTCTAGACTATTATTTATAACTATCCGTCATATAGTTGAAATTGTGTGAGCACGGTGTTAGACACGAAACGAACAACCATATAGAGATGAAGTGTTAAATGACCCCTACAAGTATGGACTCTGCAAAGAGGGCCTCCGACTTGAAGCCACGAGGATGACCATAGCTGTGGTTGTCGTGGCAGTCACGGACGCCTACACGAGTAAGTGAAACTTAGACAATCAGACTGCAATGCATGAGAGCTCTAAATATAAACATATTTTTTGCATAAACTGGACTGTAATTTGGTAGGTTTTATTGGTCGTGAGCCCTAATTCCTTTTGCTCTTTCTCAAGTCTGCGGTATAGAAAGGAGTCGAAGCAGAAACGGGCAGTTCGCCATGTGATCTGATTTCATGGCCTCATTATTTCAGGCAGAATCTATAAAGTATAGTGAGTGAGTGAGTGAGTGAGTGTGGTTTTACGTCGCTTTTTAGCAATATTCCAGCAATATCACGGCGGGGGACACCAGAAATAGGCTTCACACATTGTACCATTGTCGGGAATCGAACCCGGGTCTTCGGCGTGACGAGCGAACGCTTTAACCACTAGGCTACCCGACTGCCCCCTATAAAGTATAGAGTTGTGAGATGAACTCCCCTTAGGGCTACCACTATAGTAAATCAACGTCACAGTGTAGATGTTACGGCCATCGAAGGGGACACGGGTATCGACAGCTGCCGCATACAAATCACTTCTCAGGTCGAGATGTATTTCAGTCTGAGACGGGGACGGATCTGACAGTTGTGGGAAAAGACAAGCGTCTACAAGTGTTTGTGTTCCCCACTCTCCTGTTTGTTTCTCTCACTCACGTGTTGGTACATGCTTCCCTATGTGACAGAGGATGCCCTCGCATATAAACAGCCGGACACCAAGTGATGTAGCGGGACAACATGGTATCGAATGAGGTCGGTGTAACACAACACACTGTGTAACGCCGACTACGTAAGGCCTTCTGTACAGGTTCACTGAGCTTATTTAGGAGTCGTACATACTAACGCAATAATGCCTCACTTGTGGATCTACGCCCAACAGGTTCCACATTGTCTAGACATCGGTATTTCATACAGCTCTCGCGGAAAAATACACAACCCACAAGGCGTCCCTGCACTAATCACGGTTACTACAGTATACAACCCACAAGGCGCCCCTGCACTAAACACAGTTACTACAGTATACAACCCACAAGGCGCCCCTGCACTAAACACAGTTACTACAGTATACAACCCACAAGGCGCCCCTGCACTAAACACAGTTACTACAGTATACAACCCACAAGGCGTCCCTGCACTAAACACAGTTACTACAGTATACAACCCACAAGGCGTCCCTGCACTAAACACAGTTACTACAGTATACAACCCACAAGGCGCCCCTGCACTAAACACAGTTACTACAGTATACAACCCACAAGGCGTCCCTGCACTAAACACAGTTACTACAGCATACAACCCACAAGGCGTCCCTGCACTAAACACAGTTACTACAGCATACAACCCACAAGGCGTCCCTGCACTAAACACAGTTACTACAGTATACAACCCACAAGGCGTCCCTGCACTAAACACAGTTACTACAGTATACAACCCACAAGGCGTCCCTGCACTAAACACAGTTGCTACAGTATACAACCCACAAGGAGCCCCTGCACTAAACACAGTTACTACAGTATACAACCCACAAGGCGTCCCTGCACTAAACACAGTTACTACAGTATACAACCCACAAGGCGTCCCTGCACTAAACACAGTTACTACAGTATACAACCCACAAGGCGTCCCTGCACTAAACACAGTTACTACAGTATACAACCCACAAGGCGTCCCTGCACTAAACACAGTTACTACAGCATACAACCCACAAGGCGTCCCTGCACTAAACACAGTTACTACAGCATACAACCCACAAGGCGTCCCTGCACTAAACACAGTTACTACAGTATACAACCCACAAAGCGCCCCTGCACTAAACACAGTTACTGCATTAACCTACAAGGCGCCCCTGCACTAAACACAGTTGCTACAGTATACAACCCACAAGGAGCCCCTGCACTAAACACAGTTACTACAGTATACAACCCACAAGGCGTCCCTGCACTAAACACAGTTACTACAGTATACAACCCACAAGGCGTCCCTGCACTAAACACAGTTACTACAGTATACAACCCACAAGGCGTCCCTGCACTAAACACAGTTACTACAGCATACAACCCACAAGGCGTCCCTGCACTAAACACAGTTACTACAGCATACAACCCACAAGGCGTCCCTGCACTAAA